ATATTCTATAAGGTTAGTCTGTGGTCACAGCTGGACAGCAGAGCTGCTTGTTGAGGAAACTTTGATTAACCTTTGATGCAAACATTCATGACCTGAAATATTAGAAATATTAAGGGGGTGTACAGTGGTTGTTGAACTGCGTGTGATAAAGACTTGTTGATATCATGTTCACAAATGTAGGCTTTGGAGCTATAATGCACATTTCCCAAGTGTGGAATAAACTAATTGAACTGTTATCTCAAACTCCTTGTTCCGCTAAAGGATTATATAACCCATGGTGGTCCAAGACACTATAATATCCTTATAATTTCTTTTCTGTTATTACTCTCCGTAATCCAAAGCACACTTTATTGGCTGCGAGGAAACTTGAATTTCTACAGCTAAAGTAAGCAAGCAGAGCTCCTGTTTGTACCAACAAACAGGGTATTGAGGGTATTGAAAGAAAACAGTAAATGGTACAGTTTGCAAGTGTGTACTCACATTTTCTGTCAGTATTCCAAAAGCACAATAAACTGAAGCTTCAATAATCCAAAGGATAGATTCATTGGGGAAAATACAACAATACAGGCCAAAGAAATACAGTACTTTGACATGAAATCCAATAAATGATTTTTTATTAATCTGTTAATAAAGCAAATATTTCATGTTATCTATCTTTCTACTTAACAGCATTTTTTCTAGAACTTGCTTCAAGAGTCATTACAGTAACATGAAAGGCAGTCAGAAATGCAGAAACATAACCCAATAATAAAGAACGATATTTTTAATATATTGTAAACATCAGCATGACATGAGAAATTACTATAACTTGCGTTGTAAAAAAGTGAGAAACATTGATGCTTCATTCTTAACTCAAACTGCCCAGGCAAACCATGATTCCCTGATATAATTGTCTATGATGAAGTGTCTATAACATATTCAAACCAATGTTTTCTGGGGGTCAAAGAACCACAATAAAAGTTTCTAACTAATAAGAAGTAAACAAGATACATGTATCAGCACATCCATCCAATTGCTATCTGCTTTATCCAATATATTGTTGCGGGGGACTCAGAGCTGGGGAGGCTGGACCCTATCACAGCAAGCAATGGCACAAGGCAGGATACACCCTGGATCAGATGCCAATCCATTGCAGGGCACATGTATCAGTATACAGTATGTGTAATTTATAAATTAAGTTAGTGGTGTCTGAAAAAGGTGCTCAGTGTCCCTTTAATTTTATACAATAATATTCACTAAACAAGAAAACTGAGGAGATAGCTACAGTGTATGTGATGTAATATTATTGCAAAATTTACTGATACAAAGTGAGTTTTACCCAATAAAATAAGGTTTAAACTTGCATTTTGTTATTCGTACTCCATTGTACCTGGGATTAGCTTTCAAATCTACTTTAGTGAGTTACTGAGCCTCTTTACAGCAGTGTTGAATGGAAGCTGCAGGAGCTCCACTAACTCATATTGGATAAAATTAAATTAATTACAGAGATAATTCTGCTGTAATGATCCATTTGTAACCATTAATTTTTATTCATTTTACTATCTTGTTACATTAATGTTTATTTAAATCAATTTAGCTCAGTATGACAGTGTAGAACCATGCCTCCATTTTTTATTCTCTCTACACAATGATATGCACAATTTATATTCCAGTTTTTCATGTTTTTTTAGATGTTTCTTCTCCTTCACAAGAATATTTACAAACAATGTGTGCCTTTTGGAATATCTCACAGTTTTTCATGTGAAGGGGTGTTACTGTATTTTTATGAGCACCTTTACTGTCAAATTTCCCAGTCCTGGCCCTTCTCCCAAAAGGCAAATTCTTATGAGTGTACAACTGCCAAGCCCTTCTTCTCCAGTAAACAATAATGAGAGAATTGGCTCTGCCCTATGTTTGGTAATAATTTCTATTGCAAAGGTATTGTAAATCCATTATACCCTAACAATATAGTTAGTGCTACACATTTATTTGACATTGAATAGTATTTTTCAGGGTTAAAAAAGATAACATAATGAGTTTCCAAATCGGGTTGTCAATGACTGCAGCCCTCTCAGTTTTACAGCACAGGCACCATTTATTTATCAAACATTTACAACCAAGAAACAATGCGCAGTTTGCTCAGTCAAGTTGACAATTGACTAAACAGAATATGTAACTGAAGATTCTCCCCTAATTCTTTTGGATTCAGCTATTCTTTTGAAGAGTTCTGAATTGTTAGGCTAGGAAAAGCCCACAGATCCCAAGCTCTCTGAAGGTACAGTGTGAGACAGTTTGAACAGGCCACTTAATCATGGCAAACAATCATCAATAAACCTCTGATGAGGGATTTTTTCTCAGAATATATTAGTACATATTGTACATATACAGTATTCACATTCTATTGTATTGTGTATTGTCTCATTTTCAAGATTTCCCTGGGAAAAACACTGTCATGATAAAGCAATTCACAGCTACAGTAATATCACCAGTAAAGTCAGTCTTGGTATCTACTGTATATGAAAGGGCATATTTAGCCCCCCAATCAACCAGACTTGTTGTGGGAATATTGGCATATGCCACTGTTCAGCAGGCTTTTGCAGTGCACAATACATGCATGAGTAAATGGGTATTTATATTCAAATGTTTTGATTCATATATAATAAAAAATGTATATAACCTTACTGTAGCTTTTTCAAGACAAATACATCAGCTTTTAGATTTGTGTGCTTTTATCCATAAAAGCCTTCTTTACAGAAATATTAACATAGGGTTCAGCAAATTATCATTTCTGTAAATGTCAAACTTAACTATACTAAAAATATTCCTCTTTAGCAGTTTTTGCTTAGGATCTCAATTAATACCTAACGGTACATAGTTTAACCTTCTCTTTCCTGGCAATCACTTGATACGAAATGTACTTACTGTATAGTGTATTAAACTAAATGGTATGCTTTGCTGGGGCCCTGGGTTCAATTCCTGGGGTGCTATCTGCATGGAGTTTGTATGTTCTCCCCATGTTTCTGTAGGTTTCTCCAGGTGCTACCGGTTTCCTCCAACAGTCCCACAGTCCTACCAGTTAAGTGGCTTCTGGGAAAATTGGTCCTGGTTTGAATGTGTGAGTGTTTGTGTCTGTGAGTCCCAAATGGTGTCCTGTCCAGGGTATATCCTGTCTGGTGCCTGTTGCTTGCCGGGATACAGCTCCCCTGTGACCCTTAATTGGATTGGAGAAGAGCTTTGAAAATGAATGGAGTGATGGAAGGCTCAGACTTCTACTGAACTGTAGCTGAACAATCAAATTAGGTAACTAATGAGGGGAAAAAGGAGTGTTAAAGGAGATTTTGTTATTTTCTGCACAAACTCAAATATACAGCTGACCTGTCAAACAGCTCCCCTCCTGTGACCAGCTCCAGAACTAGACTGATCTCCATTGGTGTTTCAAAGATCTCTTTCAGTTTGATCTGCAAAAGAAACAAGAAACGTATTCAAATGTTGAAATGTGTTCCTGATTTTCACAAAAATACTAAGTGCCCTTTTGTAATTAAACAATGGAGATGTCAGCTGTGTTTAGAAATTCTTCTGCTTAAGACAACTACACAAAATTCCCCTTGTCTGGTGCTTAATCTGGTACACTATTTCAAGAAGTGGGTGAATGTGATTTTTATGTGATTTAATTCATTTCAATAATATCACAAAAAAATAACCAGTAGTCTGACAAACCCTAACTTGTTGAGAATCTTCCTTACATTGTTATATTTTTTTAAAACTGGCAAAAATATATTACTGCTCAAAATTAATATATGTTTGTTTTCACTGATAAGATTTAAATAAACAATAATACAACAGAGGTTAATTCCACACAAAAATTTAAAAAAGTTTGCATTTGGACCAGAAGAAGACACACAAATAAAGGTTGCAAATCATAAACATTCTGTTATTTTTACTTTTCATAGACAACCTCTACAGTATTTGTTCCTTGAGCTCAGCTGAAGCAGTAAAAATAAAGTAAATATTATGAATAGGCAAAACATAATATTATGGATATTCTAAACATATTTTAAGTTACTTCTAGAATGAGCTTTTCTGTTTTCATAATTTTACCTATATATTCCACAACATAAAATAACTCATATGCATTCATAATAATAATAATAATAATTGCTTACACTTATATAGCGCTTTTCTGGACACTCCACTCAAAGCGCTTTACAGGTAATGGGGTCTCCCCTCTACCACCACCACCAATGTGCAGCATCCACCTGGATGATGCGACGGCAGCCATAGTGCGCCAGAACGCTCACCACACACCAGCTATCAGTGGGGAGGAGAGCAGAGTAATGAAGCCAATTCATAGATGGGGATTATTAGAAGGCCATGATTGGTTAGGGCCAATGGGAAATTTGGCCAGGACGTCGGGGTTATACCCCTACTCTTTTCGAGAAACGCCCTGGGATTTTTAATGACCACAGAGAGTCAGGACCTCGGTTTTACGTCTCATCCGAAGGACGGCACCTGTTTACAGCATAGTGTCCCCATCACTATACTGGGGCATTAGGACCCACGTGGACCACAGGGTGAGCGCCCCCTGCTGGCCCCACTAACACCTCTTCCAGCAGCAACCTTAGTTTTTCCCAGGAGGTCTCCCATTCATTCATGAAATAAAAAAGGAAGATGCACCCACTGCACCCACAATGCCTCCAGATTGTAGAATTACTTGAAAATGTAATGTAAGTCTCATTTGTCTCTAATTAGATACATCAATTAGAAGAAAGAAATGTTTGTCTTCTAACTTTACAAAGCTTATTCATTTTCCAAGTTATTAGACTAAAACTGATGAGCCAACTGGTTTTTGAACTATTTCAATTGTCTTTGGTAAACCACCAAGCTTCTGGTCATCTTTCATAAGAATAGTATTTACCAACAGGCCATATCATCCTGCAACTCACAACTGGCAACCCACTGAAGCTAAGCAGCTGTGAGCCTGGTCAGTACCTGAGCCTGGTCAGGATGGCAGACATCCTGGGAAAAATTAAGGTTGCTGCTTTAAGAGGTGTTAGTAGTACCAGCAGGCAATGCTCACTCTTTGGTCCTAATGCCCCAGTTTAGTGACGGGGACACTATACTGTAAAAAGACGCTGTCCTTCGAATGAGACATAAACCCGAGGTCCTGGCTCATGTTTATTAAAAATACCAGGGCATTTCTCTAAAAGAATGGGGGTGTTTTCTTTGGCCAGATTTCCCATTGGCCTATACCAATCATGGCCTCCTAATAATCCCCATCTATGAATTGGCTTCATAGATGTTCTCTTCCCCACTGATAGCTGATGTGTGGTGAGCGCTCTGGTGCACTATGGCTCCCCTTGCATCATCCATGTGGATGCTGCACATTGATGGTGGTGGAGG